CCAGCTATATCTCCAGCAGAGTGGATTGCCAGGATGGCCGGGTTGAAGGGGGAGTGCTGGTGCTTGTAGCCGCTCACCACAACCAATATGAAGGGGATAACCAAAACGTTGTGAAAGTACAAACAGTGCAGGTGATTGTTCAAACTGAATAACACCGGCTATCGGTCATCGTTGACTACAAAAGCCCATCCGACAGGATAGAGGAAAGTCAGCTACTGCTAGAGCTGTTTTATAAAATGACTGTGTCTAGTGACAGGATGTTATTATTAGGGGACTTCAACGCTCTGGAAATCAATCAGACTACCGAAACTCACCCACTGGGATCGTTCCCGGAAATCCTACTTCAGATGTTGCATCGTAAGGTTCTGATACAACATGTCACCGGAGAGACCAGATGAATGTTCGGAGAAGCCGGTTCTACTCTAAACTATTACCATATCATCCTCGCCTGCTTGTGCTCTTATTTTGGGCGACTTGTTCCCGATACTTGTGGCATTCGTGTACCACACCCCTAGTTCCGACTTCCCCCGTGTTCCCCTGCACCTTGCGAGAGTACTAGGCCACTCGGGCCTTAGGACCGATCTCCACATCCGTTTTTTGGGATCATGTTCTTACTCTCCATTTTTCTTTCCTGAAATAAACTTCCCGGTAAGTTGCTTGATGAGGTGTTCAAGCTGGGTCTGCTACAGGTGTTGCTACGGTGCCCTGTCTGGTCCCTTGGTGTCTTTTTGGAGCTTCGTTGCAAAGCAGTTCACAGGGAGTCCCGGGGATTGACGGCAGTGCAAAAATTAAACTAACCGGTTCATTGCTCAGGTCAGTTCAGGGATCCCGGACTTGACAGCGATATCCCAAATTGTCCAGTTTCTTGCTCTGTTGGGCTCTTGGATCACTTACCGTAGATCCCTCAGTGCTTTGACTTGACTACTGTAAGGTCTTCATCTTCATTGTTATATCTAAAAGGCAGAGGTACCGCTCCCCGTATGAGCTCCTTCACGGCTTGTACCGATAGCAACTCACTCACCTGTCTGCAAGTTGCACCGTCGCGCCCAGTTCTCGTCGAGACGTATTTTAAATCACCCCTGGTTCTGCTTCTCCACTACCTCCGACGTGAGTGAATTGCAGAGAGTATTTGCCCTCCCCCCTCCCGGAAAAAGGATAAACCAAAGGAATCCCTGTTGTCTCCAACTTTTGGAGAGTGAGCTTGTGGCCACGTGTCCGGTTTCAGTCTCGTAGCGATAATACATTACGTAGTTCCGGTTTCAGATCGCCAAGAAGAATCTTTCATAGATAGATCAAATCCCCGCGGTGAGTTTTCTTTAGCTAACCGAAAGAGTTCAAGTGCTTGAGCCGACCTGCATAGCTGATCCCGTGAAATGCCGCGACTAGTAGTGTGGCCTCTTGGAGGGCATGGTGGTCTTCTGCTGTTCTCGTGACACTCCGCCGTTTCACATCATCCGCTTAGAGCAGAAAAGGTGAGTTTAACTGGGAGGGAAAGTCATCGACAAACAAAAGAAACACTACCGTGTTTAGAACAGAACTATGTGGTACCTCACTGGGGACTGGATGGCGACGCGACTCACTCTGGGGAACGCTTCGGGTAATCGTCTGCCGGACGAGGAACTCCTCGACCCGGGGTAGCAGTGGGTCTCCAACACCGTGAGCCTTCAGCTTCTCCAGCAACCGTCCGTTCAACACCTCATCGAAAGCCTTGCTGGAGTTAATGAAGATGGCCTCCGTTTCGTGGTCGGCGGCTCCCAAGCAAGTAGCAGAATCAAAACGCATGATCGCTGCAGACGGAACCCATTCTGCTCCGTGCACAGAACATTGTTCGGCAGGAGGTGTGGTTGGAGACGCTTGGCAAGTACACGTTTCATAATCTTGACGGTCACACAGATGAGACTGACCGGGAGGTAGTTGGCAGGGTCCCCGCGGGATGCTCCCTTGAAGCAAAGGCACACAATCGCGGATTTACACCCAGCAGACAGCTTCCCCTCGGCTAAAAGTTTTCGACCCAAACGGCCAAGATAAATGCAATGACTGGTGCAAGCTCATTCAAAAGGACGGGGTGCAGTCCATCGGGACACGGCCATTAGCAAGGTTTCAGAGCTGTGAGCGGTTCTCGTACTTCATCAACTGTGATGACTAACCATTACAGCAGGGGCGCAGAAGACGAAAGTTGGGGGGTTGGTGAGGTATGAGTAGCGTAGACGGACGCATAGTGCTGCGCAAATGCATCCACCTTGTCACCATCCGTTTCCGCCAGGGCATCGTTAAACTACATGGCTGTTGTGTCGACTGTTGCGCTCGTGCGACGACGAAGCTACGCGTAAAAACGCCTCGGTTTAGTGGCCGATTCAGATGTCAAGGACTCCTTATACACCCGCCGGTTGCTTGATTTCATCTAGAACAAGTATTGCGCAGTGTCTTGTACCTGTCAAAGTTAAAGCCGTGTACGCAAAACACTTTCCACGCCCTGTTTCGATGCCTGAGCATCTGACGAAGCTCACGGCCAAACCAGAGGGCCCGTAGCTTGCGATCTGAAGAGTTTATGCAGAGAAAGAGCTACCACTAATTCAAGAATATCATCCTGGAAGGTAGTCCAGACGAGGTCGATTCCTTGAGTGCAGGTTGCCACCCAGTGCGCGATCCTAATTCCATCGTAGTCCGCTTTCCAAACATTGGGTGCGGAATGTGATCGAGCACGGTCAGGAGCTCCACAATACCAACGATACCAAAAAGGGTCAAATAAACGCTTGAACCGAGTGGCGGGAGGTGGTCGATGATATCAACGTCCGACGTTCACGGTGATGACACCAAATCAAGGACTGACTCGGTAGGAGCGTTAATCCTGGTTGACTCGTGAGAGTGCTGATGCAGGGCCAGTCGGTTCACAGCTGTGAGAACTTCTCTGGAGAATCGGTCAGCTCCCAGCAGGCAGCGATTCTCATTCCAGTTGATCAGAGGCACATTGAAATCGCCCAGGATCAGACAGTGACTGTCGCTAGCCCGTCGACGCACATCATCCAGGATGGCCACCGGGCCTCCCGCTGGTGATCTGTAGCAAACTGCGATCGTCGTTTAATCGTTGCAGCACAGTTTGTTTTGCACCATAATGCTTTACCCTGCTCATCAGGATCCGCATAACTGCCGAGGTGGGTAACCACCACACTCTGATGATTTGCAAACTCAAAATTGCTATACACCTCGTTTCACAACCACTTATCACGTTCTACTAATTCACTTCCTCCCCATATCTATACATTTGTACTTCGATTCTGCTGGTGAAATCAAATGATAATTCATCTACTTGCAAACTTAATGTATCTTCTAGTAAGACAGTGTTTTACAAAATTTGCAAAAGTAAAACACCATAACATTTTTTGCTGTATTTAATCTTTTGCACGTATGCTATAGCAAACTGTTAGCTTTAATAATGATGTTGTCAAAATAACTGGCATCGACAGTCCCCGGGTAAGACGATATATTAATAAAGGTATATATTCATATAAATATTATTAAAAAACTGGAGAAGCAATGGCCCGTCCAGCTTTTTCTGATTTTCCAGTTGCATCCCTCACGAACCAAGAAGCAAACACGGTTGAGGATCCGGGGTCATTGGGCGCTAGCCTCAAACGTGAGAGGCACTCCATGACTTAAGGATCTTGCACGCGGTTCGAATTTTGGAGTGGGGCGACTCCACAAACATTCTCGTCGCGGAGTTGCACTGATGGAGAACTTGAGGAAGTTTTATTTGACTGTATCGAAATCGTCGATGATCCAAATATTTTCTGGTAGACTATGCACTGCGAGTGCTTTATCGTCTGACTACCTAAGCCATTTATTTTCGCTATATTTGGTCAGGGATGAACATAACAAAAACAAGGCCTTGTTTTGTTGCCTAGCACTTGTGTTCTTAGTTTGACAGTGTCTAGCTCTGCTAGAACTCACAAACAGATTACTCCCGGTGCCTGTTCTAGTAGGCGAGTTTCCTTGTGAGAGAAGAGGTTGCACCACCCATGTCCAGAAAGTTCTAAGCTGTGATGGCTGTGAGGTCTAGTACCACACTCAGTTTTGTACTCGGTGCTTTAAGGCACTTAAACTGTATGGAATCCACAAGTTCCTGCGGTGGATTTGTCCTAATTGCATACGTTCATGTGAGGTAAGTTTGAACAACCCAGCCTTGAAGTCCCTATTAACAATAATAATAATAATAATGAGTGTTTATTTCATGGAGCCCCGTGAAGCATGCATAGACATGTTCAAACGTACAAAATAATCACCTGTACAGGAGAAGCCCAAAATGAGGATTTGAAAGTGGCAGTGAACATATTTACAAATGGAACACAAAGTGGACAGGGTCTCGGTGGAAAAGGTTGAGGATGGCAGAATGCCCTAAAAGAGCAAGTCGATGGAAGTAGGACGAACAAGAAGAATCGTTGTAACGGATAAACGGTGAGATGATTGGAAACTCGACAATGAGTGAGTAAAATAACAAGAGTTGGAACGCAGATCGTTGGACGGGAATGGATGGAAACAGGCACAAGAGCAGATAAGATGAAGCAGGAGAGTAAAACTGTCAAAGTATACATGCACTTCACGTTGTGAAACAGACGAGTTCTGGAGGGTCTTGTTTAATGGTCACAGGGGCTCCGATCAGTGATGGATTGATTTGGGTTATTTACGTTATTAAGGCGTTAGGAATCAAGTGTCCTGACGAAAACAGGAGCAGAATGAACCCGCTGGTAATACACTCGACGACCAAACATTTAGAGAGAACCATGTGTTACCAAGGTAGCCAGCGTCAAGGGTGACGAGCGGCGTAATGTACAACCGCGATCAGGCTCCGTTGCACTGTAAGTATAAATAAACTGTGAGCTTTAGAAGATTAAGGGTGCCATGTAGGAGCACGCGAAGGAGATAAAAGGAGCTCAAGATGCAACAAATAAGCTCACAAGTGTGGTAGACAGACTGGCTAGACAGGTCAAACTGGCACTGGGAGGAGAGTGCAAAGTGACTATAAATGGCATACCTGAGCCATTCTTCAGGGCTACCGAAAAAGAGCAAGGGAACTCCAGCAGGGAGTGGTTGACTTGCTGAGATTAGTGGACATCCCTGCTTACGCCCTGATGAGGCGGGTGCTGTAGCTTGAAAGGTGAAAGGACCAGGATGAGAATATTCCGGCGAACGGGAGACAGGTCCTTGTTGAATTTGGTAACCTGAGGTACAGAGGAGTTCTTAGCTGCTTCAGTCATGATCCAAGCTAGTGAGAATTTTCGGGGACGGGTAGAGTCGGACAACCTGCCAAAAACTGTCACAACCAACGCAAGTCACATGGGCGGCAGACTGTTCTCTTCACCGGTAGAAGCGGCAGGTTGGCAGACTCGAGTTATAGCATCACCCGTGATAAGTTTGTCAAAGGATGGCCTAAGTTTGAGCCTCTTAAGATCACCGCTAGGCTGCACCTCACCGTTGGCCACTGTTATCGAGAAAGGCATACTTCATTGCGGCAACAACTGTGAACCATCATTGACTGGCAAACAAACGGGGTCAACACTCGGGCGTGAACCTCGAGTGCACAGACACTTCCTCACATAAACTCCGCCCAGCAATAGGGTCTTGTTGCTCAAGCATAGTGAACAATATTTTCTGCATCGTCGGTAACAAACAAAAGGAACTGGAGATTGAAAACGCTGTAGTGGAGTGCATTAAAGTCTTGAATTCTTGAAGAACTTCACGGGTTCGAGGCTAAGCCCAATGCTCCCGGATCTTGGTTTGTCGTTTTTCGATTGATAGGCAGTGCCCGCTCACGAGAATCTGAGAGCACCGCTCGTTACTGAGATTAATTGAGATGGGGATACAGGTCACGGAAAGGAAGGATCTGGAATGGAAGTTGGGAGGGGAAGGGTGCAGTATCTGCTTGCAGTGCACAATTATGCGCACACATTTTTACGTGCAAGTAGGTAAGATTGACGTGGTGCACACCATGCACAAATACACAACAACAACAAAAAGTGTGACTCAATGAAGTTCGGATAAATGCATTTAAAACGATAACGCGGGGGTGGAGAGATATTTGGACAGATTGAGAGTGATCAACTAATGGTATTTGGTGGTAGTGTATTGAAGGCCAAGGAATATATCGAGCTTGTGTTTGAACATGCTCTTTGAGGGTGCATCAACATTCTCCTGTGGGAGGCTGTTCCATAATAGAATGATTCTATGGGTAAAAAACCAGTGACGAACTCGTGTGCGAGACCGAGGCTTAAACAGCTTTTTGCTGTGTCCACGAAGAGTATCTAAGTTGCATGGGATAAAAAACTGGTAAAGTGTGTCCGTGGAGAATAAATGGTGAAGAAGAAAACTGTCCGCTATAATGCGGCGGGTTTCTAAGGGGTAAAGGTTCAGTATGGTGAGACGGATGGGGTATGGAACATGTAAAAGACCAGAGACTAGTTTTGTGGCTGTTTGCTGAACTCGTTCAAAGGAGTTACGATCACCCACAAGCCCAGAGCACGCGATTTGGGCTCCGTATTCTAATAGTGGTCTTACATAAGTGCCATATAAGAGTTGAAAGTCTTCTTTATCAAAGCGAGGGAAAGAGCGCTTGATAAAGTTGAGTGCTCCAAAGGCCTTTTCTCGGGCTTTTTGGTGGTGGCAAGAAAACGATAGCGAGTTGGATAACCAGAAGCCAAGGATCTTATGCTGGTTTACAGTCTGAAGTCGGGACGTGTTGCACACATTGAAGGTGTGCGCGCAGCCCCTGCCAAAGGACATGCTTACAC